GGCAGTAACCTTCACGGAAGTAGATTGCCTTACCTTCCTTCCGCACAGCGGCTGCTGGGTGTGAACCACCAGCCTTCTGGTTAGCAGCCAGATGCCTTAGGCACTGTGCCACCAGGGCTCCTCACCTGGAATATAGTAAATCCCAAACCAAACCGGATGCCATCGGGTTGCTTGTGACTCATAACAACCCTATGGGACTGCCCCATGGAAGCTCTGGTGACATAGTGCCTAAGGTATTTGGCTGCTAACCAGAAGGCTAGTGGTTCAAACCTATCAGCCACTTCTTGGAAGGAAGGCTGGGCAATCTACTTCTGTAGAGATACTGCCTTGGAAACCCAAGGAGGGGTTGCTATGAGTTGAATCGACTCAACAGCAGTGAATTTTGAATCTTTATGGAAGCACACTGCCTCATCTTTCTCGTGCAGAGCAGCTGGTGAGTTTGAGTGCCAGCCTTTGAGTTAGCAGCCAAGCACTTAACCAATGCACCACTGGGGATGCAGCACTTTGGCATGCAGTAGGTGCTCAGTAAGGCATTGAGCTGAGCAGCTATCTGCTGACAGTAACTTTGGGCGTGTTGTTTGTCCTCTTTGAGTCTCTATTTTCTTGTAAGTCAGTGAGAGATCAGGCATCCTCTCAGGCTTCTTGTGAGGATTAAATGAGATGCATTTCCGCTCCAGCCCCACCGTCCTGGGCGCACACAGCATTGGAGTGAAATGACTTCCAGAGAACTCGGCTGTGAATGTTGCATGGAGGAGGTTAAAGTCATGCTCTGTGAAGAAGACCTGATGCTGGCTTCTGCCATCTGCTGGAAGGAGCCTAGCTGGAAGGAGAGAAGCTGGCTGTGCCTTGCTGCACCACAGGGCATCTCAGAGGCCCCTGAATGCCCAGGTCTACACTTGGCATAAGAAGCTGTGGCAGTACCGACCGCTGTGACCAGGAACTCCAGAAGGTCCTGGTTAGCATGGGTGAAAAATGCAGAACAAAAGTTAATAAAAATGACCAGACTTACGGGACTGATGGAGACCAGAAGAGCCCCCAAGACTGTCGCCCTAAGACAACCTCCTAACTTGAAACTGAAACCACTCCCAGATACCACCTTTCAGCCGATAATAGGCTGGCCTGTAAAATAAACACTGCCACCAGGGAAGAGCATGCTCCTTGGAACGGTCAACTGGAAGAGACCAAAAGGGCAACGTCTTTCTGAAACCAAAGATGAGGAGGACGAGGAGGGGAGCGGAACTGGATGAATGGGACTGAGGAACTCGGGGTGGAACTGAGGAGAGTGCTGACCCATTTCAGGCATCACAGCCAATGTCAGGAACAATCTGTATGAACTATTGAATGGAGAACTCATTCGCTAGGTAAAGTTTCACCTAAGGCACAGATATTCCAAAAAAAAAAAAAAAAGTTTATGGCAGGACCCAGCCTCCCTGTCCTCGGTAATTACCCAGGAGGCGCGAAGGCGGAACGCACAGAGACCTGCACACCGGTGTTCGCTGCGGCTTTGCCCACACTGGCCTAAAGGTGGGAGCAACTGCAGTCCCCATCCGCAGGTGAACGGAGAAGCAAGACGGGGTGATTCACACGGTGGAATTTTAGACAGCTAGAGAGAGAGAGAAAGTCCCGATGCCTGCTGCAGCGTGGATGGACTTTGAAAACATCATCCTTTGCCAAAGAACAAATGCTGTTTGATCTCACTGATGTGCAATCGGCAAATACATGGAAACCAAGCTTATGAGTAGTTCCTGGGGTGGGAGGGAGGACAAAAGGGGGAGTTTGTGCTTGGGGGGCGTTCAGTTTCTGTTGGTGGTGGTGGGATGTTTTGGAAAAGGATAGCGATAATGGTGGCAAGGAAGGATAATCGACGTCGGGAATCGTCAGCGTGGAGGCTGTTGTGCTGGTGAACGTCTCGGTGTGTCTCTGTTCACCGCAATTGACGAAGAAAAAAAGAGCAAGCAGCAGCTGCGGCCGCCAGCCAGCCACAGGCCGATGTCCCTTCTTGGTGCCCTCACTCAGGGCTAATCAGATTCCGACTGCGTCTGGCTTCTGGGCCAGGGGATCTAATAAGGGAGGGCGGTGACCCTGCGTGGAGGACAGTTTCCCTAGAGGCGGGGAAGGTGTTAGATGCCCAGCAGGGCTCACTGCAGCAGCGGAGGCAGCACCAGAGACTAACCTAAGACTCGGGCAGAAAGGGTAAGTTGGCCCCTAGAGAGCCTGGGGACTGGTGAGGAGCCTTGGCCACGTCAGGTCCTGGAGGGACCTGCTGGAGGGCAGGGGGGAGGTGCTGTGTGTTGCAGGGAGCAGGATCATGGCAGCGGCGTGAGGCACAGGGAATAAGGAGTTGTGATGTCCTATTCAGGGAGTGGGGAGAGTCCTCTGAGTTGACTTGGGAAGAAAACTGGCGGCTGCTGACGGAGAGTGAGTCAGGGCCAGGGTACGGGGCTGGCATTTCACCTGCAGGCAGTGGGCAGCCGCTTCGGAAGTGCGGCCATGACTGGGAGCTGAGACTGTCCCTGGCATGTCAGGCACCTGAAGAGGGTAGACGGAGTGGAGGGACCAATCAAGATGTGGCTCTGATAGCTCCGGCTGCGGGGAAGTTGCAAGTCTTGATAGGGTGGTGGCAGTAAGGATGGTCAGGAAGGAGTGATGGTGAGAGAGCTGGGGAGGGAGAGGACCACTGGGACCCAGTGGCCCCACTGAGGAGGTGCCAGGGTGTAAGCACTGGGGACGGATTGGGAGAGGACCTGGTTCCCCGAGTGGGAGTGAGGGCCAGATGAGCTCAACTGCAGATAATGCGAGTTTAAAGGGTTTGTGGTAGGTCCTGGTGATGATGTACAGCGGTCTGTCAGACGGGGGTTTGAGTCTGGGGAAAAGGACAGAACTGGCCCTAGATTTAGGAGTTACCTGTGCAGAAGTGAGCGACGCTAGAGATCAGAAATAAGGGGTTCAGTGTCATCCAGGGCTTCTGAAAGCGGGCGTCACACCTGCCTTGGGAGTGTGGGTTGGCGCTGTTTCCGGAAGATGATCTGACAGAATGTATCACAATCCTAAAAAAGAACACAGTTCTTACCTCAGGATCCCAGTTTTCTGCTCAGGCCTTAATTGGAAAGTGTGCAAAGACGGTACATAGTGGTGTTTATTTAGCCAACAACTGGAGGCTAGCTCCATAGGGGGCTACCAAACCAAAAAACCAAACTCAATGCTGTCAAGTCGAACCTGACTCAGTGACCCCCTTCTTGGGTTTCCGAGGTGGTATCTCTACAGAAGTAGATTGCCCAACCTTCCTTCCGAGGAGTGCCTGGTGGGTTTGAACCGCCAGCCTTCTGGTTAGCAGTCAAATGCCTTAGGCACTACACCATCATAGGGGGTTAGGGGACTGGTTAAAATATGGAACAGCCATACAGTGCAACACTGTTCAAATGGTGAGGGAGATAGATATTCATTGATAAAAACAAATGCATGATACACCATTAAGTTAGAAAAACAAGTTAGAAAATTGTGATCTTATTCCTATAAAGGAATATATTTCGAAGGAAAAAAAGAATGTAAGGATATGAATCAAAAGGTTATCACTTGTACTTTTCTTCTTTTGTGCTTATCTGAATTTTACAACCAGGAGCCTCTATTACAATTGTTTAAATTAGTTGTGGGAGCTGCTAACAGCTGTGAGATGAGGCAGAGAAGAAAGTGTGTGTGTGGGGGGTTAAAGACGGAGCTGAAGGCCGGGGAGGCTGGACCAACGCCCTGAAGGCAGAGAGTTGGCTTGGTGCTGGAGGGTTAGGGAAACATATTTCAGCCCCCATGGCTGTGTGGCGGGCTCCTTGCAGGCTTGCTTTCTGCTGACAGTGGAGAAGCTCAGGGCGTTTCCATGGCTGCTGTCAGCATGGCCGCTGGGGAGGGTGGTGGGGAAGGCGAGGTGGGTGGCTTTGCAGCTCTCTGGGTGGGAACAGTCTGCTCTGGGCAAATGCCTTTCTGTGGGCTTGGGTGGGTGAAGCAAGGGGAAGCCAGGCCTGTTTGTAGCCAACCCCTTCCTCCTCTTCCTCGTCCCCCTGCTTCCCATGGCAGTCTTGTCACCATCTCCAAGGGACCAATGGCACCATGAGAGGGCTGTGAAGATGGGCCCGCACCTGGGTGTGTGGTGTGAGGGTGAGGGCTGGCCAGGGCTCAGGAGAACCAGGAGGTTCAGGGTGAGGGGCTGATACCAGTACACTCATGGGCTTTCTCAAACTCCTTGGGCTTCCATTTTCTTATTTCTTATCTGCAAAATGGACATAGTGACATAGCTGCTTTATAGGATAAAAGGGATGGTTTTCTTTAGACGACTGTTGTAAATCAGGTAATGTGGATGGAAACACTTCGTGAGCGTAACAGGGGAGGCACTTTTCTTTCTAGGTTTCATTCCTCGTGCCTTCAGTTTGGACACTTTGTCTGAGATGGGGTGTAGCATTAACCTGCCCAGGGACTGGGTGGGGAGAATAAGACAAGGAAGGAAAGGAGCCTGCCAGGTTGGCATGTTCATGGCCAAGCTGGGAGGAATCTGCTGGGGGCTGTGTGGGGTAGGGGGTCTGGTGGCCAGGCCCAGGCTCTGGGGGGTGGACACTTTCCCATCTCAGCTTGGAGCTTAGCAGATGGGGCCTCGGGGTGGGGAGGTGGGCTCTCCATTTGTACCCCAGATGCACTTTACGATCCGTCGGGGGAGGAAGGTGCCTAGGCCTGGACCTTAGAGGAATTTGCTGAAATCTCTCTGATTTACCTGTGAGTCCTGAAAGAACCCAGGGCCTCAGGAGGCAGGAGATAAAGCCCAGGGGCCAGCCCTCCTGCCACCGGAGTGGGGATGTCCATCTCTGGGAGGGTGAGGCCATTCCTCTCAGCTGCTAAGGAGTCTTGAGACCATTGCCAGGCATGTGGGGGAGCAGGGGCGGGAGGGTGGCAGCAGGGCTAGTGGGAGGCCGCCGGCCGCTCTGAGCTCTGCGTCTTTCTTTCCTCAGCAGCCTCCTCAGCATGGAGAGCGGAGCCTGTGTGGCCGCCACCCCCAGAGCACTGCCTTACTATGTGGCCTTCTCCCAGCTGCTGGGGCTGACTGTGGTGGCTGTGACGGGTGCCTGGCTCGGCCTATACCGAGGCGGCATCGCCTGGGAGAGCGCCCTGAAATTCAACGTGCACCCCCTCTGCATGGTCATCGGCCTGATCTTCCTGCAGGGTGATGGTGAGTCTCCTGTGGGGGGTGTCCCTGAAGGAGGCGGTTTGTAGGGGTCCTGTCACCCCAAGGTCTCTTCCAGTTATGCAAACCTAAGATTCTAGAAAAGACAGAGAAGGAAGCTGGGCTGGGGGCTGGGGTCAGCGGGAACGTCATCAGGGCCCCTGGCCCACCTTGTTGCAGCACTTGCATTCTTGCTTTGACAAGGGACATCGAAGGCTGTGCATGTGGTACGGCAGGGTGCCGTGGCTGGGCTTCGAGTTGGGGCTGGCTGCTGCAGTGGTGCTTGGAGGTGGGAGCAAACTGTACATGGGGGTGTGTGGGAGGATGTTCAACTTGAACGAGCCAGAGGCCTCCCTGGGGGGGGAGCAGCAGGGCTTGGGCTCCATCCTGCTGGGGGGGCCTTACGTGGGGGTCCCCTTGGTCGGTGACTGGAAAGCTGGGTCTGTACCTGCTTGGCCCATTCGTCTAGATAGGGCCCTGCCCCTGCCCCTGCGCCAGCATGGGCTAACTAGCTGGGCTCACAGCTTCTGCTTTGGGACCCAGGTTCTAAACCAGGGAGTCTGCTGGTTAGCATAGTGACCGTCTGATCAGGTTTCAATATTGGACTGTTTGGGAACACACAGAGCTAAAAGTTGAGCTCAAAAGCTTGGTGGTAACTCAGTGTGACTGTATGACAAACCTGGGATACACAGGATACCTGGCCAGGCATCCAGCTTGGGGTGGCCTCTCTGAGGGGCCTGGCAGGTGCTGTAGGTAGAGACTGTGGGCCGAATATCTCACCTTTGCTGCCTTTTGTGGCAGCAGGAATCTTGGGCCCAGCCTGAGTCCTGGACTCTGGGTGGATGTGCGGGAGGTAGGTGCCTGGGGCCGGGATATTCAGGCACTCACAGCCTGGGGGTGCCGACCCCGAGGCCTGGGAGTGTCAGAAGGGTCTGACAGAAGGGTTTCCTGGGCCTGGGGATACCTTGACAGGCCCCTAACATCCCCCACCACTGCGGCCTCCTCTGCTGTTTGTGGCAAAAAGGCTGGAGCAGAGACTAACAAACATTGTTCCCTTTCTCCCTTCCCATAAGCGCTGCTGGTTTACCGTGTCTTCAGGAATGAGCCCAAACGCACAACCAAAGTCCTGCACGGGCTGCTGCATGTCTTTGCATTCATCATTGCCCTGGTGGGTGAGTTCTGGCACGGCCTTCCCTGACCTTCCCTTCGTCTGCTTAGGGAGTCTACACTCTGCAGCTCTAACCTCCTTACTCCCATTCTGTCACAGTTCCTGCTCCCCCGCCCCCAACCCTTCCAGGCGTCCTAGGCGGGGCCCTAAAGCTGGGACTGGAGCCCAGAAGTTCCAACCAGCCATGCTTCCCTCAGGTCATCTTGCCGCCTCCCTTTTCCACGTCCAGCCCTGTCCTCACATGACCCTTCCTCTCTGGTCCAGGCTTGGTGGCCGTGTTTGACTACCACAGGACCAAGGGCTATGCTGACCTGTACAGCCTGCACAGCTGGTGTGGGATCCTCGTCTTCATCCTTTACGTGGCGCAGGTGCGTCCTTTCAGCCTCACAGGTTCTGAACACGGGGCCACCAAGACGGGGTTGGGGGAGATGGGGAAGGGGAGGGGTGTGAGTAGTCCCATTTTCCAGGGAGACCCAAAGGCGTGAGAGGAGCTTTAGTGCTGTTGCTGCTGTCTTCGTTTGTGAGATGGGTAGAAACCCAAGATTATATAGCAGAGAGTGTCTTGGATCCCAGGTGCCCCTCCAGCTGGCTAATGTAGCACGTGATTGGCCATGTGCCCAGCCTTCTGAGTGTATGGATACGAAGAGCCGGGCTCAGGCCTTGGGTGTTTGGGGGCCAGGACCCTTTCCCAATAGTGCGCAGTGCTTCCCCGGCATTGCGCCTAAGATGGAGGAGGCTGAGCAGCCGGAGGAGGCGGAGTTGGTGGTCTTCACGCGGAAGCAGCTGCTTCGGGCGACTCGGCTGATGGCCGGCGGGGAGGTGGGTGCCCAGCCTTGCTCAGTCCCCCGGCACCTCCTCTCCTTTCTCCTAGTGGCTCGTGGGCTTCAGCTTCTTCCTGTTCCCTGGAGCTTCGTTTTCCCTGCGCAGCCGCTACCGCCCACAGCACGTCTTTTTTGGTGCCTTCATCTTCCTCTTTTCTGTGGGCACAGCCCTGCTTGGCTTGAAGGAGGCCCTGCTGTTCCAACTGGGGTGAGTGTCCCGTGACGCAGCAGGGCGGGGCCCACGCATCACCTACGAAGACCGAGCCCTGCTCTCTGAGCCCGCTTTTGGTGGTGCCAGATAAGCAGTCATTTTGCTGTCGGGGTGGGGGGCAGAGGGGAGCTGGTGCGGGCGTACTGTGGCGTCTTTCTGGCCCTGGGTGGGAATGGCATCTGGCCTGTGACTCTTTGGGTGGCTTCTTCATTCCATCCCAACCCTGTAGGACCAAGTACAGCACGTTCGTGCCCGAGGGGGTCTTGGCCAACATGCTAGGCCTGCTGCTGGCCTGCTTTGGCCTGGTTGTGCTCTACATCTTGACTCAAGCCGAGTGGAAGCGGCCACCCCAGGCTGAAGAGCAAGCTCTCTCGATGGACTTCAAGACGCTGACGGAGGCAGACAGTCCCAGCTCCCAGTGACGGTGTGGCCTCCTCCTCACCTCTGTGGGGGTGAGGATGTTTCTTTCTGCCCACCCCCTGCTGATGCTGTTGTCCAGATTAGTGGCTCCTGCAGAGGGCTGGGCAGTGGGGTGCAGCTGTGTGTACTTTGCAGCTGATTTCTGGGACGTGGGGCTTGTCCTCCCTCCGCTTTGTCTTCTCGCTGCTGCTTTAGACCAGTGCCTGGAGCCTCACAAAGGCCCTGCACGCTCTTGTCCCTTCCAACGGAGGCGGCTTTGGGTAGTAAGTCGTAAGTCCTGTCGTGGAAGAACGGACCCTAAAGGAGACTGGCTCCACTGCCTTGTGGGCAGCACTGGGCAGAAAGCAAGGCTGTGGGAGAATCTGAGGACATCAGGGACAGGCCTTTGACAGCCAAGCCTGCTGCTCTGTGTAATCCTGGATTCGCACCAGAAGCCTCACTAGCATGTGCACAGTGGCGCGCAAGGGCCCATCCTTTGGCAGTGGGAGCAAGTGATACTATGTGTAAAATATGTTGGTGTTCTGACCAAGGGTCCCCGGGAGGCGGGAGGGACTGGCCCCTGGAAAGCCCCCAGTCAGCCTTGCCCAGCAGCAACCCTTCAGCCTTCCCTTGGAGCTGGTCCCGTCCCGGGGCCTGTCTGGGCAGTGGCTCCGCCCCCCTGCAGGCCCTAGATGTCCTCCGTGCCCCAGCCCTGGGCTTTGTCTCACGAGCTTTTTGCTAGTGCCGGGCACTGCTTTGACAGACGGGTTTTTTTTTTTTTTTAAATGAAAAACTGCCACTGTGATGGGGAGACTCCTGCTGCTGTTCCGAGAGAAGCCTCTTCCTCGTCCAAGCGTCCATCTTTGAAGGAAGGGGATTGGGGCCCCACACCCGTGAAGTGTGTTGTGCAGTTAGCTGAGTCATTGTTTGGCTTCGTTCTGGAAATAACGTGATTAGAGCCTCAATTGTGTGTTGTTCAGACTTGGCGAATGCTCCCCTTGTTTTCCTCACTTTCTGGGTTTTAAGGAGCATGACATAGTTTGAGGCAGATACAATTTACTTAAATGCAGAACATTAATAACTGTCCTGAATCTGACTTCTGTTCTTTTAACGGCTGCCTTTTTTGCACCCAAATGCTGCCTTAGGGAAGTGGACTAGTCTCCGCTCACGCTCAGATTTCCACTCACCTGCGTTTCCCGAGGTCCTGCCTCGGCAGTACCCCTGCTGAGATCCCAGCGGCTCTCTGGCTCGTCATCTGCAGCCTGCCCTGGGTGACCGTGTAGACTGTGTGCTCGGCAAGGGCTGGGGCGCTATCAACTAACTCTTCAGTCACCTGGCACACATGTGCTCACATGTGCAAAAACTCCACCTTAGACAAACTGCCAAAGTACAAGTGTACATCTCCCGTCTCAGAATGCCACTTAGAGAAATGGAACCTTAGATTTGCAATGAAAGTTACAAACTAGCCTGTTTTCCAAAAACGTTTGTTGGGAGACTAAGGAGCCAGAGAAGGCCCCTCAGAAGGGCAGATCCATGGTGGCTCAGTTTGCCGGTGGCCAGTCTTCTGTGAAGTACAATGTGCTATTGATATAACTGATGATTCAATAAATGTCTGCAGCAAACTCCTTGCTATCATCTTCATTTACTGTGGCAATCAAAGGGGCCAGTGCTGTTAGCCATCAGATAGACGAGTTAGTTTGAGGGTTGAGAGAAATTAAATAGCTGCAGGCTGGGCACAGAAGGTAAAGTGGTTAGTGATTTTTATCACGGCACAGGGTCTGAAATGGCCTGTGCCTGTCCAGTCTCTGCCCCACCGGAGGAGGCTCCCCCACGCAGTTAGATAAACCTGTCTCTCAACCCAGAGAGAGGCTTGGAGGGTTAGATAAACCTGTCTCTCAACCCAGAGAGAGGCTTGGAGGGTGGAGCTGCAGGAACCTGGTAAGGGCCCTGGCAAGAAGTTTCCCTCTGTGTCCAACTGACGTAGTTCCGTCTCTTTGTTCCTCAGTAAGGAGCAGAGCTTTGAGAAGAGCTGTGATTACCTTCAGATCAATTCATGTGGTGCGTTAGGAGCTGCATTTGTGGTAAATCTGAGTGTGCTCCTGAGCAGCACGGTCACGGAAAACCAGGGCTTCAGACCGGTTTGAGCCAGTTCAGTGTTGGCCGATGCAGCAAGATGGGGACAGAGTTCAATTTGTGAAATGTGTACCATCACAATAACCGGAATGGGGAAGATGACAGGTTGAAGCCCTTGCAAAGGGAGACTGAAGAGGTGTAGCGAGCCCTGTCAGGAGCCTGCTGTGGGAGACTAGACTGTCACCAGGACTGTGCAGAGCAACACCCATTCAGAGGGGTGGGGTTGGCTGCCATCTTTGAGCCTCATACTTTTGTTTCCAGCTCTGCCAATCAAGTGATCCAGTTGCTATGCAATACCCATTCTGCCCTTGTCTTCCAAAAGGGAGAGTAAATGTCTGGTAGCAGGGCAGACCAAACCAAAAAACCAAACTCACTGCTGTGGAGTCGGACCTGACTCATAGTGACCCCTCCCTCCTTGGGTTTCCAAGGAAGTAGATTGCCCAACCTTCCTTCTGAGAAGTGGCTGGTGGGTTTGTGAGAAGTGGCTGGTGGGTTTGAACCGCCAGCCTCCTGGTTGGCAGTCAAATGCCTTAGGCACTACATTACCAGAGATCCCAGTAGCAGGGCACTGACCTGTAATTCTTGTTCTGGCTATCATTCTGGTACACCCACATTTTACAAATTCAGGTCCATTCTGGTTTCTCTTTGTTGGCCATGACTGAACCAGGAAGAACTGGTTCAAAGCTCTGCCTCAAACAAGTGAAAACACTTACCAAGGTGCTCACTAAAGGAACCGTTAAATAACTCTTTTGTAACATGAATACTTAGTTCCTAACATTTGTTTAAACTGCTACAGTATTGTGTCTGGTGTCCAGTGTGTAGTAAACTTAAGGCCTGTCCGTAAGGCATCTGTAGCGTGTCCTGAATCAAAGCTTCTCTGTGGACCTCGCAGTGCATGGCTTGATACACGTCAAGCTGATTTCTCAGTCAGGATTGGGCAGAGGCCTTGGACCCTGTTCGCATGCCATCTGACTTGTGGCTTTGTGGGCTAGCCTTGGAATCTCACGGATCACTTTCCACAGCTGTTGGTGAATATTCAAATCCTCCCCAGGAGGAAGATGGCCTCCCCTCAGAGGGTCCTTCTTCACCCCCCCCCCCCGTGTGACTAATGGAATGGCCAGTGAGAACGGACTCAGCATTGTGCTGCGAGGAACCTCCCTTTTCAGCATGGGGGGCACAGAAACCTGATGAACGCCCTGTCCTGTTCTTGGGATGGAAGGACTTGAGTCGCCAAGCCTCTCCGTGCCTGTCCGTTTTTTTTTCTAAGCTGAAAGATGATACTGCCCTCCCCATCAGTTTCTGCCTGTTCCCAGCCTGGTGAAGGGGAAGCTAGCTCCCACGGGCACACTCACAAAGCGGCCCATCTGAGCCGGGAGAGTTACCGTGAACCAATGACGAAGAGTTTAGCGCTTTTGAGACCCTACAGTGGCCTCTGCCGAGTTCATTCTCTTGCTTCTACTCCGAGGGGCTTTTTATTTAGGTTCAGGGCAAATTCTCTTTAAGGATTAGCTTTTTAGGAATGGCTACCTTTCTCCTCTCTTCCAATTGTCCCACGTGTCCTTAAAGGAAAAAGCTGGAGTTTGTGCCAACCACTTACTCATTTTTGAGTTTTAGTAACTGGCAGCCTAGGAATGGTTTTCAGACAGAGTGAGCAGTTCCTCCCTGCTTCTCCTTGAAGGCCACCTCGGCGCCCGGGCCGGGTTGTCGGCTCATGCCCTGGGGTTTCCAGCATGCCCAGCTTTGGCTGTTTAGGGAAATGGCTGTTATTACAGAGCAGAAATGTTTGTTTAATGCAATCTGGTATCTGGAGGAAGTGGTCTCCTTCCTCGCTTGTCCCTGAAGTAGACAAAAGGCAGCCGTGGGGCAGGAAAGGCTGCAGGCCCAGTGCTGGCCACTGTCTGTAAGGTATTGAGTCTCCGGCCAGTTTCAGGAAACCTGCAGTCCTCTCTATGGTGAGGATTAGAAATCCGAGCCAGGTTCTGAACAAAAACGAAGCCAGCCACTGGACTGGCCCCCAGCTTTGACCAAGCCAGCCTTCGGAGCTATGGTTAGGACAATCTGTCTGCCCACTTAAGTCTTGGAGTTTGGTAAGGTAGAGGGATTGGGGTGCAGCTTTGGCTCTCACAATGAAACAAGGTGAAGGGCTCAGTGCTTCCTTGGTATGACTGATGAAGACACTCTTCCACTGAAGAGAAAGCCTTCCTTTGTCTTCGCTGACGGGCCCTTAGGACTGTCTTCTGGTGCACAGCTTCCTGAATGCCAATCGTGTCTAACCCAAAGGACTGCTCAGTGACCTCCTCAGTGAATAACTACACGAAGGGGTGACTCTGCATGTCCCATAACTGACCAGCCCAATCAGCTAGAATTTGGCCTTCACCTGGTGAATTCTTCCCGGGAGGTGGCTCTCAGCACTGCAGGCCTCAGAGGGGCCAGCTGAAGGGTCAGCCTCCTGGAAAGGTATTGTTATGAAAGGCGAAAAGCAACCACAACGGCCATGGTTTTCCAAGTGTTAACCATTTATAAATAAGTACATTTGCTTTCATACATACAGTTCATTGTACAGATGACGATCTGTATACATGGGGCAGGAAAATGCATTCATTTAAACTTTTCACATCTATCTCACACAGCTCACATGTACAGACAATAAAACCGCTCAAGCAAGTACAGCAGAGGAAAACGTCTCTCCTTATACACAGGGGGCTAGATGCTCTGCTGGGCGTGGGACATCCCCACTGCACAAGTTCACAACTGTGTGGTGGGCAATATATCAGGATAGAGAACAGACATGCACGGGGTAAGATACTGTACAGAGAAAGTCCTTTGCATCTGCGTTATAGAAAACCGAAAGGAGAACTAAGTGCAGTAAAGCTTTTTCCAGCAAGTGTCT